ACGAGGGCAGTATGAGATAGTGCATTATCGTGGTGTATAAACCAAGAATAGTCTTTCCACAATTCCGGCCTGTTTAGGCGGATAGCGTTACGCAAATGACGCATAACGTTCAAATAATATTCCTTGTTGACTGTTTGACCGGTTGGAAGGAATTCATAATGCACAACACCACGATAATCGAAGAAAACAGTCAACATGACCTTGATTTTTGAGCGACTTTGGCGCGATTTTTTTGGYCTCGGCTCTCTTTTGGCACGATATTCGCTCGATTGATCGGTTGTTTGAGGTCGTAAGCATAGATTCAACTCTCATCGCCAGTTATAATGCGTTTCATGACACCCTTATAGTCGGAAAGCATCATTTAACACACTTCAACGCGACGTCTTTTTTCCAAAAAAAACTCAATGTTTTCGGTACGGTTTGACGCGCTTGAAGCCCAAAACATCCTTCAAAATGATATTGGCTGAGCCTTTCGATATCTTCGATGTCTTCGACACGTTCACGGCCGGCTTGGAACTCACTATACCACTTGTAAAGGTTTTTTTTAGACATAGCCTCATCACTAAAGGCTTTCTGCATCATCCTCAACGTATCCGCAGCTGAAAATTGATTCTGTAAATAAAATTTAATGCAAATTCTTTGCTCAACCAATTTCGACATCGCAAAAAACGAAAAACTCACTTTTAGCAGCTCACAAAACGMCACGTATCTCACACACTAATGAATATTTTGACATGAAATTTGACATAATTGTGACTGACAGTACTACCAACCTAAAAAAAAAAATAAATCTCCAAATCCTTCGACGAGCTCAGTTTAAATTCAAATGTCACCTTATTTTTTGGGCACAGTATATTAATATGATTTTGTTTTTTTTTTTTTGTTTTTTTTTACTAATTTAATTCTTTTTATTGATTTGACTTTACTAAGCGCAACCAACTAACGATAAAAGTCTCACAATTTCTCAAAAATAAAGTTGCAAAAAGCTCTTTATAAACCATTTGAAATAAAAAAAGTTTGTTTAAAAACTAATAAGAAAACTATTTTGGTTTCAGAATCAAGCAACTCAATAAAGTTTGCTTGCAATTTATTTAATTTTTCTCAAAATTATATTCTAGGATTTGACACAAAGAGTCAAACGAGACTCTCTCAGACTTTATAGCTGCAGAATGTTAACGACAGACCCAAACACTTAATACACGAGATACTACTTAGACATCGACTCCCTTCTTTGATTTTTATAAAGCTCATATCTAAAGAGTTCAGTCCTGCTGATTAACTAATTTTAATCTGTGTGGTTAAAGCTCATATGAAAAAAAACAAAAAAAAAAACAAAAAAAAAAAACAAAAAAAAAAAAAAATTATGAAAATTTTCTTTTTTTTTCTTTATAGTTGAACTATAAAAGCGTATACTACTTACTTAATTACGGAGTGTGGAACAAGCACATTATGTCATATTAAGTATATGTAATTAATTCTCCACTGTGCACACTAATCGCAGCTGCGAAGATCGACCTCATCTCAGTACGTATTCCCGTTGTATTATACAGGCAGTGCAAATAGTTTTAATCACCTTGAAACTTTTGCTCAGAGGTTGTCTTTATGGCTTTAAGCTTATTAAAAAAACATACACACATATTTTCATAAATACATATGTACTTATAATAAATACGAAAATAGACCGAAACTTTATTACAAACTACAATATTTAGCTTTTTTATAATACAAGTATTCCACACTTTTTTGATTGTGTTAACAGCACAAAATAAATCAATCAGGCCAACATGATCACTGACAGCTCCAACAGTTCCATTGAGCGCGCAGCCGTCATTGGCTTTATGCTTTCGCCATTTATTTATCTTGTTTTATGCCTCAGCTATGGCGATGGCTGGGTGCCATATCAATGTCCGATCTCGCACAGACCACATTGTTTGCGGCTAATATAGTTTTTTGTTTTACTCAAAATCGAGTTATGCGCAACGAAATGTAGAAATAAAGGAATATGCGCATATATAGATATGTTTATACTCGGATTAATACTTTATATGATCATTAAGGGCTTGTCACCGGAAATAAGCACTTACTGCGCATACTATATATGTAAATTCCAACACTTACGAGTGTGTTCTTAAACTACAGTTGAGTAAAAATTCTTCTAAAAAAAATTAAACTAAAAGTTAGTAATGATTTCCTCAGTTTTATAACACTATTTAAATAATATACAATAATCATAATACAAAGTTTTTAAATAGTGTATGAAAAAATTAGGGTTTTATTATCAGTTTTAATTATTTGTTTCACAAGAATTTGACATCTATACATATATAGTATTACGTGTAAAAAATACTTTGAGATCTCACAAATTGCTTTTAATTTTTTTTTTCTTAATTTTTTTTCTAAATCTCTGTCGTCCCTCTCACATTAAACCCCGCTGGCTGCAAAGCTCTTGTTCCAATTTTTTTTCCAATCCTCGGAACAGTCGTTAAAGGCAATTTCCGGAATAACCTACAAAAGCGTAGCGATTCATCTTTTCTGTCTTCAATTGGCATCGTGGTTTTACTTTTCTTAGGCCCAAATGATCTTTCGAAATAGTTTCCACTCTTACTATTTTTTGCCCACGGAAACAATATAAGTAACATTTAATATTGATTAACTCACTCTTTAAAGTACTACAATCGAATGTCAAGTCTCTCTGACTACGCAGTGCTAATTATTAAAACCACATTGGTCAGATTTTGAGGTACTCTATTATCCATATGAACCAATTTTCGCAATTTTTACAGAGTTAGCGCCTGAAGCTCACTCACAACCGCCCATTTCATAAGCTTGGTATGCAATCGAGTGTTAGTATTCTACGTTTTGCATTTAAATCAGTAATAATTCTTTCCAACCAGCGGCATTTGCCACATGCAGTACGGTCCCATTGGAAGCAGTCGCTAGCCACATGCCGGTATCCAATTTGTTATGCAAGGATTATTGGCCGCTAAAGCACGAGTACACACTCTGTAGTTCATCGAGTGCGGCAAGTGTTTAGAAAAGTTAAAGTGCGTGCAAATTCAGCCGAGGCCACAGCGTGTAGAACAGGCCACTCAAGCCTTTCATGCAGTTCATTTGTTTTGACCGGGTTAACATAACACCCGCTGTGCCAGAGATTTGTTAACTTGTCTCGTAACCATTTTTGTTTGCTCTTTACTTCCTTCCCGCTATTCACTTGTATTATATGGCAACAATAAATTATGTAGCTATACATGAACCCACATATATTATATACATATCATATATATATCTTCCTTTAGCGGCATTAGAAATTCGTGAAGGGAAGAGAACTGGTTGATTGGTTGAAAACCCATATGGTTCTGCAAATTGGACATGCAACAATTGATGGCTAAATTTATTTTGGTTAAAACAATTTGTTATATTAATTATTGAGTTTAGTTTAGCTGCAAACATTTTTTTGTGGTTTTCTAACGAAAATCTGCAGCCTTTCTATATATTTTTTAAACATTCTTAATGAGATGATTTCTCATGCTATTCAATTGATGCCAGATTGTTTTTCACTTGTGCTCTGTTGAATATCTTGAGGTTATTTTAGAATAAAAAACCACTAAAGTGGAGAGAATAAAGAAGAAGGCTTGGCCATTGCTTATGTGACTCTCGCGCTTTAATGTGGTTTGATTTGAAAGTCACGAGGTGAAGTCATGGGACGTAGGCTTTCAGCTGGCTGTAGAAAAAAATAGTGGGCACCGTGCCTATCCAGCGCTTAGATGACTCAGACGGTTCGGTACATATGTATAAACAGACAGACGAACAAACGGACTGCAACTCAACTCATCATCTTGACCTTTTATATAAATATTTTATAAGGTCTCCGACTTTGTCTACGGTGTTTTACAGACGTCATGACAAACTCAATATATCCTGTTTAGGATATAATAACATTTACATTGTACTTCTAAAAACTTTCAAGTACCCACAGTATATATTAAGATTCTTCAGCACCTGACATGACTAAATGTTAACAAAGGTTGTTGTCTTGGCTAAAAGTAAACAAATGTTATTAACCCTGGCCGAATATAATACAAAGGGTCATTGACCTAATTAAATATACACAAAAGGGTCCATGACTCCAAATGTAAGCAAATATTTTTGACTTAACTAGACAGACCGCGGGACATGGCTAAACATGGTAATCTTTTTCTATTGGTGTCGACACCGCTTACGCGGTTATAGCCGAGATTGGAGATACCTATTCTTCTCCACCTGTTATATCTAACGGAATGGAGGTCTTACTCTTCTTCTGCTTCCATCGACGGGCACTGAATCAAAAACCTTTACAGCTGTAGTGTTCTTTTCCATCCGAACAGCATAACTTAGCTAGCACAGGCGCTGAATAAAAAGAACCATAAATCTTCCGCAAATGATGGAAACTTCGGATGGCATGCCATGAGACTGAACGTGAACGAAAATACTTCGCTCTGTATGCCAAACGAAGAATACCGAGCGAATTTCTTCCATGTCTTTGCTATTTTATCAACTCTGTTTCGTTACTTTACTGAAAAAAAAAAAAAAATTGGCCGGTAGTTCCATAAACTCGCTCTGCAAGAGAGCAACCGATGTCAACTTTGATGAGAGGTTTAAGCAGCATAATCAAGTTGGATGATTGCTCAGAATATTATACCTATAGACCAATATTTTCAAAATTGAAAACTAGTGTTCTAACTCTATTCCAGTAACTTTTATCTCAAAGAAAGGTGTTTCAAAATATATTGCATGTATCAATTTCTGCGCAAAGGCATATGAGGAAATCACCTATACGAGTATAAATATGCATGAATATAAATGCCTAGTTTCTTCCGAATACGTTTTTTGCGAATTAATTCGGATGCGGATAAACGCATTTTAATTACAGTTAATTTCTATTTTTAAACAAAGTACAAATGAAAAGCATATAAAAGTTAGTGTAGCTTCCGCTTTGGGCTCAGTTCATTTCATTTAATGTATTCTGCTGAATCGCTGCGAAAATGAGTGCCATAATTGGAGTAGAAACCCTGATTATAATGGTAATCATGCTGTTACTCTTCGCCAGTTGGCGATTGAGTCAAAAGCGGAAGTACTATCGCAGTGTAACCACGAAGTTACCCACCATGGCTGGTATACCTTTTATTGGGGTAGCTCATAAAATGCTTGATATAACTAGTAAGTGTAGTGACAAGTTATTTGTTTTCTTTTTTTGTTTTGTTTTTTTTTATTTTTATTTTTTTTTTTTTGATACAAAAGTACTATGATTAAAGTGTGATTTCATTCGTAAACAATAGAACTATTTCATAATATAAGTGTCGGCTGCGATACCTTGAAGACATCAACTGCTTGTGTATGGATGGCAACAACGCCGTACGTGGTTACTGTCGATCCTGAGATTATCAAGCATGTCACCACCTCGCCTGAATTCCTTAACAAAGCCAAAGATTTGTATACACACTTTAGCAAGAGTGCAATAAATGGTATTATCGTGAGCCCAGGTGATGGCGCATAATGAATGATGAATATATGAAAATTATCTTTAATTTTTTTTTTTTTTTTTTTTTTTTTTTTTTTTTTTTTTTTTTTTTTTTTTTTTTTTTTTTTTTTTTTTTTTTTTTTTTATTTTTCGCACAAACAGCTAAGGTTTGG